GGGGGGGGGAATACGAAAATTCGCACTAAAATTCTTATTATATTGACTCGTCAAGTTGAACATAGTTGAACTTGATGACAATTGATAACAATATGACAGAGAGAAGCTGGAATCATAATAATATAAGAGATTCATAACGTACAATCGTATACTATAATTATATATATTACTAAAATAAAATTGAAATTTTCAAATATTCTCAAGTGATTAAATCAATTAGATCAATTATCTAGATCTGATAAGAACAGAAATTTGTACCCTTTCTCGTAGTGTCATTAGTCTTTAATACACTCAGCACAATACATTTGTATTCGTTTTGTCAAGTTTTACAACCTATAGCCAAGAGAAGAGAAAATGTCGTAGACATATGTAAAGGGTACCTACATATACTAATGATGGATGATATGAATTTCATTTAAAAAGAAACAGACCAAACGTATTTTTATTACTCAAAATTAACAGATTCTATACCGAACGAAGAATAACTAAGGAGCTTAGGACGATCAAAACTAGGGTGGAATGTAAAGTGATCGTAGCCAAAGTGAAATATCGAAAACACTGCATAAGCCACATTTTAGAAACAAAGTGTTGATTTTTCATTGAATAAATCTCGATGAAGCAGATTAAGGCGGTGGAGAATAACTGTGGCTCTAATTGAAATAAAAAAATTAAGACTAAAGACTAAAATCCCTAAACACGATGCTATTAAATTGAATAAAGCCATTAATTTAAGAATTTAATAGTGACTTAAGCGAACTAAATACTGCATTCAATATACGACGAGTTTGCATGTAAGTAGTCGAAATTCAAAAGAAAATTTGGTTAAAAATTATCGATTTTCTATCAAGCCATTAAAAAAATTCAACAGAGATTATTTTCGAAATATTTCTCTTATTATATTAAATGTAGCATATCTTGAGAATATATCTCATGCTTGACGTGAAATGGATTATTACGAACGATTATGAATGATTGTATGAATGATGGTACGTCTATATGAAAGAAGGGAGCTTGTATAGCACGCTGCTTACATGATTTTTACCTTCTATGATTTCATAAATAATAATCTTGTTTTACGATTTGTAACCTTTTGTACAAATTACGAAAAACCGTTTTATATTTCTACTTGCTGCAGTAACTGTGTGTGTGTGTGTGTGTGTGTGTGTGTGTGTGTGTGTGTGTGTGTGTGTGGGCGCGCGCGCGCATTACATATGTATGTATGTATATATACACATACATATACAATATACATATAGTATACGCATATGTATACACAGTACATATGTATATACACATATATACATAAAATTAAGAAATCATAGAATATACGTCTATAATTATGTGTTCTTTGCGCACTAATATTCTGAATAGAAAGAATATGCTTACCGATTCCAAATGGCTTTGGCGGTACAGATATAAAGTTTTCGTCATTTCTTGCGTGACCTATAGATGCACGTCGCGGATGCGGAAGACCATTTTCCATATTGAGATCTGTCACACTTTCCGAACGAGTAACATTCAATGAATCCATTGACATATCGAATCTCATAATCTGTAAAAACCGAATTATGAATTTGCGAACTATATTCTAATACTGATTTTATTGAATGAAAAGTGCGAATAAAAATTGCATTATAATGGAAAAGGAATACTTTTGGAATTGAAATAAAGCTTTATATTAAAATTTTTAAGTTTAAATGAAGGAACTTGATGTAAAGATAAATTGTCTTGATTGTCATGATAAAGTAGAAAAAGAAAACTTTCAAAGATGCAATAATATTAATACAACAAAAATTCATAAATAAACAGATAAACAAATTACAGAGTGTCCGGATCGCACCACCTCTCGTGAGTAAGTAGAGCAGGTTACACTAAGTAGAAAAGTCTTGTACCATTTTGCAATTTTTGCAATAAGAGAAATTAGTTTGTGCGAGAAATTAATTTGTGAAGATCGGCGAAGATCTGCGAATCTGCGCGATTTGACGACAAGAGACGGTCCACCGGATTACGATCGCTAGGCATTGCTAGCCGAGAAACATGAAAAAAACAATGTGCCGTTCGTACATAGTTATTATTTTTTCTAGAGCTTCCCTCTCACTGCTGTCGTGCTGCTCTCAAATGAATCGTACACGTAAGAGCTGGGGGGCTGTCTCTTGTCTCGCCAAATCGTACGTGCGCGCACGCTAATACATAGATCTTGATAAATTAATTTTTCGTTAATTATTGCGAGAATTACAAAATGGTAAAGAGCGGCTTTCTGCTCAGTTTAACCTGCTCGCTACCTACATGAGAGATGGTGCGCGATCGATACGTCGCAGACACAAATTTATATATGTACAATATATAAAATTAAGTGAAAAGCAAAAGCACTTTTCTGTCCAAGATTTTCTGCTATTGCAAAAAGATAATAATACCTGAGAGAAGTTTGGAACACTTGCAGTCTTGCGCATCAGTGGTTGTCCGTGTGCTTGTAACAATTCTTTTATAGCGACACTTTGTCGTAATCGGTCTAACGTTAATATACTTTCGACGGCGGATACACCACGAGTATATTTTTCTATGCAAATGATAAAAAATGAATTAAACTGATTGATAATGCACTTTCGAGATAATCGTGAATAATTCGTGAGTAATTTACCTATGTAAGTTTCTCCGTCGCATAAACTATTATCTTCCCCGCTAGCAGCAATCTGCGCCAAGCTCTCGCGATCTTCGAGCTCTTCGCTCGCCTTCGGAATGTTTGAAACTACCTCGTAAGTAACACCGGTTTGCGCCAAGCAATCAGTTCGAGTAATTCTCTTGAAAATTCTATCTGTAATGCTCTGTCTCTTGTATATATTTAAAGCTAATCTTTTACGCAACACAAGGTCCATTGGTGCTGGATGTGATAGGCGAACGGTAGTCTTCAAGATTAGAAACACTCTTTCGTTTGCTAAAACCGAGCACGCGTATTACTGCGCGTGTTACTCTAATACTATAGACCGCTACTTGCTTGATAAAACGTAAAGAATAATTACCATCGGTCACTCTATTGAGATGTACGTTATCATGTATACTAGAATCCCAAGCGGCAATGGCACATACGTCTTTCTCTAAATGTCGAATAATAGGCAGATTGTAGAATTTATTTCCATGTTCCTTAGGTAGGATTGAATTTAATCCTGTCACTGATACTTCTTCTCCCGACTGATGCGTTGAGAGATCATCGGCTGTATATAATATTTAGTTAAAGTAAACACAGTTAATAAGTGAGACAGAATGCATACACATTGATAATATATTGAAAAAAAACTGAAAATTTATTACAATACCATTGAGATCAAGAAATAATACAGGAATATGCGGCTCCATCCCTGCAGGAGGAGTCCAATCGGCAGGAGCACCGGGAATGCCTGAACCCGCCGCAGGAACCAGAACGGCGTTCCGTTCCTCTGTGAGGCTGACCCACTGATCCACAAGACTTTGTTCCCGTTCCATGTCTTGTTCCGTTTTGTCTGTAGAGCAAATAGATGTAAGAATATACAGAGAAGAAACAAAATGACGAATGAATAAGAATATAGAATATTAATAGATCATGTTTCTGGCTCTGAGATAATTTCCTAAGTTGTATAATACCTTGCTTATTAATGAGTTTCTGAATTTGTTGATCAAGGTATTGTCGTCTTCTCATTAGAGCATCGCTCCATTTATCTCTCAATATACTCAAGTCCTCATCTTGATAACTATCCAATGGCATTTGCAATCGATTTCGTACTGAAACACTTCCAACGGCTATGCTTAATATCGATTGACAGATAATCGGTAAGGTGCCGGAATTTTGTACTGGTTTCACTCGAACTTGTATTCGACGTTGTTGGCCTTGCCGAAGTTGATAAATACCACCTAAAAAAGAAATGAAAAGATAAAACTACTTGAAAATAAATAATTAAGAGCGTGTGCGTGTGTGTGCTTTTTTTTTTAAGGAATAAGTAACATTATACAATTATCCTCACCTGTACACGTGTCTTGCTTCACTGCAACTTCAACGGGCGCGTATTCTCCCTGCTCGTTGAGCTCTTGTATCTCCACCCACAATTCAATTTTTCGCGTTAATTCAGACCAACGGTCAGCGAGCGATCTAGCTTTTGCCAATTGTTGTTGTTCCACTTCCCATCCAGGTTTACTACGTGAGAAACCTGCGCTGCGATGGCCCCATACTTCTATACTCAACGCTCCTTCTACAAGTAAGAAAAAAAATATGATAAAGCTGAATAATATAATTAATAATACAAGCGATGTATTATTATCTATCGCTATTCATTAAAAAAATAACGCACATAAATAAAAGTATAATAAATTCCTACCAGCGGCATGTTCCATAAACTCCTCCGTAATGGGTATAGTGAAATCTTTTGTATCGTCAAACTTAAATGTCAAGGAATCTCTCTGTCCAGTGATGCAATTCGAGTTGGGTAGCTCCGCGTTTATCATTGGCGGAACCACTATCGGTTCTGGATGATTCCAAAACATGTATTGACAAAACACAAAATGACTTAACGAGAGTGGCAATCCGGTGGCTTGCTTTATCGTTACGCGACAAGTAATATGGCTAGACCCTCCGGAATAATCCTCCGCTTCGGAGGATGTCGAATCCGCGGAAGATTCCGAAGCAGCCTCGCAAATCCGATCTTGAGGAAATTGGCCGGATATACGACTTATTTCGACCTGCAGTCGACCAGCGACTTCTCCTTGTTGACTAATAATCGGAGTATGATAATCTAATCGTACGTCGTGGAATAACACTTCTAAGAAAATATTTGCAACTCCGATAAGATTGTGATTTTCTTGGGATTCGTAAAACGGATCTTGTGTCTTCCCTGGTACTTCGTCCTGTGAGAAAAAATTATTTCGTACACGTTGTTAAGGAAATATTTAAGAGACAAAAGTATATACCTTAATCGCAGGTAATCGTTGACAATTGTGAGGATCTTTTCTTTCCTCGTACATGTCTCGCATATCGACTAATTTATTTTCTAACTTTTCCATGGACCAAACTTGACTTCCCATATTCGTCCTTTTCACTAAAATTGCGGGCTCACTGACAAACGCGCCCCGCTGAAAGAATACACTCTACATATCGAAGAGTGTGAAGAAATAAGAGAAAAAAAAACATACAAATTAAACAAAGAATAAAACAAAATATAAAGGAAAAGTAAAAATTAGGATAAATATAATATACAATTGATATATTAATTGAAAAAAAAAAATGCAAATAATAGGGTGGATCGACAAGAAAAAAAAGAAAACAAGAAACTTTTATGTACAATATAATAAGTGACTAATTATACGTTATACGATTATAATTATTAGAGAAATCAGATAAATTTAAAGACAAGTTCGAAAACATTTCACGTGAAACATGACAAAGATATGATGTAAAAACGATATACAATCTTTCTCTGTGTATTGCTGTACCTTTCTATTCGGACTTAGATTATTCGGAGGAATCTGTAGAGTGACGCTAAATTTTGTCTGTTTGCCCATCTCCTCAGCTAAGACATTAGCCTCTTGTACCAATGCATTAGCCTTTAAAATATCTGTCTTCAATTGACCCAAACTCCGCTTGAACATCTCGTCTCGTTCCTGAGCCCACTTTTCAACGCGCATTTGCGTCGTTGGTGTGCAAGCTGGAAGTTTTCCACTTTGACTACCTCTCAGAGGATCATACGGTACGTAAGGCGAATACGGCGTAGAGGGAGATAATATATTGCGTAATTGTTGAAATTGTCGTTCATACTCTAGCCTCTGCTTCTCGAGTGCAACCTTTGAGAGACATGCGTAATGAGTACAATACGAAAGTGTTGACACGTATTACGATGCTTGTTCAAAAATAACGCAGAACATATATACCTGCTTATCTTCCTCATGCTGTTTCTCCAGTCTTGCTATAGCTCTCTGGATTGGATCGTTGGACAATTCGTTAAGCATGAGCTCTTCTCTGGCAAAATTGTAGTCGATGTTTTGAGCGGGGGTTTGCGGTTCGCTATTAATTGCTATAGAACAGAAGTGATACAGGGTAATAGAGAAATTGTGCGTTAATTCTCAATTATTTCGCGAAATTGATACGATTTTTTTTTATCTTAAAATAATTTATTATCTTATCTTGAATCACGCAGTATTAAAGTCGAATCGCACCTGTAGCACTTCTTGGACAGTTGACTCTGAAGAAATGATGATTTCCCCAAACAATTCTGTCGCCGTGCTGTAGCAAAGTCTTGTTTACAACTTGCGTACCGTTGACGAAACATCGAGCACCGTTTAATGGTATCATGTACAGGCCTGATTCTTCTATCGTGATAACGCAGTGCTCCGGTAGAATACCCAAGCCATGCAATTGAATATCCTGTTCCCTTTTGGCTGAACGACCGCCTACGAGGGTCCTTTCCTGAAATATCCACACAGAGAGATATGCAACATTAGAGAGATAAGAGTGATGCGATGTGAAGCATTCGGGTCGACAAAGCAACATATGTATATATAACGACACGTACATACCTTGAGATAATAAACCAATAATTCGTTCAAGCTTGGATCATCGTTCAAATTAACCAGGTAGTATTTACTCTTCTCTACTTGAATACCGGACGCTTGTACGCTTATTCCCATCTTTTCCAGAGCCTGCTGCCTTTCGTGTTGTAGCCTCTCGGTTTTCACTAGCTTCTCTTCCCACGTCTGTGACATTTCCTTCATCAGTCGTTCCGATTCTGACAGTTTTTCCGTGATGTCTGTGCGTTGTTGGCCGACAATCATCGATCCCTGAGCCTAATCAAAATCAAGTTTGTCGCGCGCAATTGCTTTAACACAAGTAGCTATACTAAAAATAGATAAAGCAATGGGGAAGATTCTCTTACTGTTGCATGTAACAACATTTCCTTTAAGGTTTCAACTTCTTGTCTGAGTTCACGAATAATTCTAGCATTTGGATCCTCATTAACTACAGCATGATTGATTATTCTCTTCGCTCTGTCAGCATACCGGAGAGTCGATAGCGTTTCCTCGTAATTGTCAGCAGCCGGTGATATTGTGGCTACCATGACAGTTTTGCTATTGCCACCAAGATTATCCTAAAAATATTATTTTTAGAATTCAATGTGATATTTGTATCATAAAGCTTAAAGCACACTGTGTGTGTCAGATGAAAAAGCTAATATACCTTCAAGAGCCACGTAAGGACAGAATCTCTATAGGGTACGAAATTGTCCTTCTTCTTGTTGCTGCCGGAATTTTGATCCGCCAACTTTGAAATGACTAGACCCAACGTCGTTAAAGATCTATAAATCAACGCTTATTATATACATTTTCCATGTTTCCATGCTAATGGAAGATAATTTCTATGAGGTTGAAAAAAGTAAACATACTTGTTAATATTGCTTCCTTCTTTAAGTCTATCACCCACTGCTCCAGTTTTCACAGCCCTTTCGCTCCCAGCTAAATCCACCAAGCTCATCCGCGAGACCTTTTCTCCGCTGACTCCGCTCTTCGAGTCCGTTAGAGTCTGCGTGAGAATTACCGAGAATACAGCATGCGAACGGGAGCTTTCGGAATTCATATTTGTCGCCGCGACTGTTCGCGACTTGTTGCCCTCCGTCATGAGGTTGTCGATGTCCTAGAGTTGAACATTTCGTCAACAAATGCAGAACGTTCGGAAAATTACACACATGCACACACAGATATGGAAATTATTGATAGCAAAAGAAAGCAGAGGCGGTCACCTGGAAAGAAGTAACCGCCAGTTGGCTCAGCCCATCCACGTAGGGCCCCAAGACATTGTGCTCTCTGACTTTGAGCGATTGCTTGTTTGGCTTTGGATCCAGAAGATCATGCACTTTTTCATTGTAGATCTCCATGTACGAGACCTCAACCTTATACGTGAGCTCGGAACTTTGCTGCTTCGCTATCATATCAAAGAGATTGTCGCACAACCGTGGTATTATCCCTTTGTTGTCGCCACTGCCCATCATCGTGTAAGACTTCCCGGAGCCTGTAAAAGCATGCAAAGACATTAAATCCTCTTTATCTCTTTTTTTAAATGATTTTAAGCTTAAATTCTTATTTGGACGTTATCGCTTTTTTTTGCTGATATTCTGCGAATACGTGATCTCATACTTGCATATGATTAGCAATTTGGGTAGACAATGGGAGTCATTAACGCAATATTTGGTGCGTGGATTAATAATTTAATCTTCTCATAAACTAATCCTCCAATACATTCTTCGATATCGAATGTTTCGGGGCCTCATTCAGGTTTCACTTTCATCAGCGATAATTTCAAAAAATCCCTTACGTTAAAAACATTCCGCTATTCAACCGAACGATCGATCGATCGTTCCGCATGTGACTCCGAAGCATGACACATAGATATTCCGTACTGTGTGAGACGCGGAGGATTAGTTTATGAAAAGATTAAATTATTAATCCACGCACCAAGTACTGCGGTAATGACTCTCATTGCCTACCCAAATTGCTAATCGTTTTAAAACTAAAAGTCTTATATGTTATGTATTAAATATTTAATATCAGACATTCCTCTGAAATTTGACAGTATTTGTTTGTTAGATATAAATAAACGATTTACTATTTCACAAATGTACATAAAAGATAGTGGATCGTTTATTTATATCGAATTATTTAAGATGCTATCAAATTTCGGAGAAATGTCAGATATTAAACATTTATTTTTATGATAAAACATAAACACATATATACATATTGCAAATATGATGTCATGTATTCATTATAGAATATCAGCAAAAAGATCGAAAGGAACAACGGATTAGCTATAAATTTCTCAGTAAAAAAACGCATTTAAAAGGCATTCAATTTAGAAAACAACACTGCGCGATCTCTCATCTCTTTTTTCACGTCAGCACATTTATTTCAGCCTCCTCGTGTCCTCGTATAACGGGCCGCAAAAATATCCTATGTTTGTAGATTAGTGCGGAAAGTTCGAGTTATCTCTCTTGTCTGTTGTCCATGGTGTCTCGCGTTCTGCGTGGGTCAATGTCTCGCTCCGCAGAAAATAAACCGTAACCGTTTATCGGTGTGACGACCGAACCGATTAATCGCATTATTTACCGCGTTACACGTCCGTTCATGCTCCGCTCATTAACTATCGCATCTTTTCCAACACGTTAACACAAACGTCTCTCACAAAAGTCTCACGCGATAAAAGGATAACTACAGTTAAACTAAAATAATTGTAACTATTACAACTGATATACCGGTTTGTCCGTAGGCGAATATACAAGCATTGTAACCCTGAAACGCATTGTCCAAAATATCACGACCCAAAGCGTCGAAAACGATCTCTTGACTCGCAAAACTGTCCGCTCCAGGATCCAAGGAATAAAAGCAATGATCGAAAGCGAAAGTCTTCGGCTTGTTCCTGCAACATTCATAGAAAATAATCATCGTTATGTATTGTGTGTGTGTGTGTGTGTGTCATTATATAAAGCCAGGAACGTTATATTCGTCAATCTAAACAGTTTTCCTGTCTTGAAAAATCATCATAAATAGCAGACATTGTCGACGTTTCGATTACGACGTCGAGTCAATTAATACTGATCTCGAAGAAGGAAAGAATATATAACATTTTTTTTTTCCCCGATATCTATGTAAACATGTAAGTTCGAAAGTGAAAAGTGAAAGAAATGTGTTCAAGATTTTTGCGAAAATACATTACACTACACTACACTTATACATAATATATTGTTTACTCTAAAAAATGTGCACAGAAAAGTATATATGGAGATCATTTTAAATATTTACTAACATTTACATATCTAACTTGTCAATATCATAAACATTCGAGAAAAATACATATATATATATGCGCGGATATATTATAACTTTCGACTTGCGCATGTACATTACATACACAGATAACTGGTGTAACTATACCAATACAAAGGATAAATAATGATTCACACGCGTCGATCGAACTTGCGGAATATCATGTCTGAGGATGAAACATCACAGTGAATGTGCACCGATTTGAGATGAAAAGATATAAATGTATGAAGCGAAATAATATTTCTTTTCCATATTACTCTTGTTGATACAGTATAGATACATCAGCACTTTATTTTCTCGCGCAAAATACGCACAAGATAGAAAATATAACAAACAATAAATAATTCGAAAGTGATTACAAAAGCGAATCGCTTACAATCAAATGCGTATCCGAGTCGCATTCGCGAATCGAAACACTCTTGAGTTTCAGACAGCAGATTGCAATGCGGCAATCTTTACGAAAAATGGTGGACTTGCGGCAATGATCGACCACTCGATCGAGAGTCGAGAAGAAGAAAGAACAGACTGTCTATCGCGTGACGACGAGATCGCCCTTTCGAGATTACGTCCACGGCATACTGCACGAGCACCCCGCGTTTTCAGGTGACCTTCGACACGCGAAACGTCTAGCTCTGCGGCTTGTGGCCTGAAATTCAAAGTGATTTAACCAATGCTTAACGCTCAGGCTACAAAGCACGTGCTAGGCTACCACATGGGTACCACCACTACTTCAAAATTCATTTGTGTCCAAGTCAAGCTTCGATCAAATTAACCGAGTGACGATGACACCGAGGCTGAACGATCCCATCTGAGCTCTGTTATGGAAAGTTACGATAATGTCGAACGCTCCGACATTATAACTCGAAATCTGGATACGATTTTTACACGTTGCGCTACGACGATGTTCAACAACAAATTTAGAATCGCGCAAATGCGACTGCAGCAAAATTGACTGCAGGGCTGCCTGTTGTTTTACGTGCGAATCTAATCCATTGCTGCACCCATGTATTGCTACTCGTCATCGTGAGACTTGTTATCCATTCTTACATAACCAAAAGAGCTATAGTCATCATTTTGATCCTTGATTAGCGAATAAGCGACGTATGTACTACCTATTATTATATTGGTATGTTGAAACTTTTTTAAAAAGCTCACCTATAAATAAGCTTGTTTAAATTTTTCACCCAAATAAACTCCCCTTTCCTGCGGCAGCTCGTTTTGCATCTTATCGAACAGCTTTTTTCTTGTAGTCGAGAGCAGAAAGAAAACATCTTACTTTCTACGTGCGGGTGTAAACCTTGCATGTGATTACGTCCTCTCGGTTCTAAGTCCTGCTTCGAATACTCGAGCCGATCGAATCGTATAACTGGTATAGAGAAAAACGGAAAGCAGAATCGCAGATCCCAATCGGTGAGGTGCTTTGGAAAAAAATGTCAAAAGATAGGTAAAGAGTAATCATAGACACGACTGTATACCTTGGCGGACAGCGTGCGCCAAGCATGCGAGCTGCAGTCAAAGACTTTGACTTTAATCGATCGTATTTAGTTCCATTTTCGCTCAATAACGATCGATAGATGACAATATTCCGACTCTACGCAGTGTCCGAGTGGGCAAAGTATAGTAGGGCGAGCGTATGTCCGCACAATACTCAGGTTATTGCACGTTACTGAACAGTGCAACAGTGAGGGCAAACGCGTCATTGCGCGATTCGATCGTTACCCTTAGTCCTTATAAACTAACAATAAGATTAAAATAAGATTCGTAAAAACCATCATAGATTATTTATTATTGCTAAACCTTATCAACTGCGAAAAATCGTGTGGGTGCTCGAAATATCAATATTTTATATCGTTATTACATCTATATTTTTACTCTAACAAGTTTTATGATTTATTACATCGAATTGCTATACCGAACCAAAAATTAGAAAACACGATTTCTTTATTGAAGAAAACGTTTACCGACGTTCGGAATTCCAAAACAGGATGTTTGGAATTAATTAAACTACACGTATACACTCAAACTGTATAGAGATCTGAAAAATATTCTCTACTGCGAGTGATGTTTTATAAAATTTAGCTTTGGCTCTTAATATCTACAAAGATTCTTTTTATTATACAGTCTGTTGCAATCGACGTGAATTGCCCGTGAATGAGGAAATAAAATTATCACCGATATCACCCATATTACCGCAAAGTGAATCCCTGTGAAGTTAGCCCCCATTATTTAAAAAATTAATTTTTATTTAGATTTTTGTATAGATTGTATAGATATAGATAGTTATAGAGTTTTTGATAGTTTTAAGAAATTCTTCTTTCTCGTTCTGGCCATTAAAAATAAGAAAATGCGATTTAAAATATCTATGGAGGGCTAACTTCATGCAGCCTCAATTTCGAAAAAAAAAAATCATTTTTTATTAGAGTTCTACATAGATTTTAAATAATTGTAGAGTTAACTCGCATTTTAAATCGCATTTTTTTACCTTTAACGGCCAGAACTTACAATTAATTTCTAAAAACTGTCAAGAATTCTAGAACTATCGAAAATTTATACAGAACTCTGAATATAAATTAATTTTTTAAATAATGGAGGGTTAACTTTACAGGGACGCAAAGTGGATATAAATCGGTTGGAAATCTCAAACGTATCCTTTTTACACAAATACAATCGCGTTTTACATATTAAAGGCATAATGAGGAAGTAGAATTGCAATAGACTAGTTATTTCCCATCGTTTTTTGGAACGTTGATTCCAGTTGCAGGTTGCTCTATTACATCACAATTTTAAGAAACTTGCAGATAAAGTTGTAAAAAGGGCTATTTTCACGTATCTTGTCATATTATAACTTCGAAATGCGACGTGCCAGAGAAGTGTTTTTGCAATAAAGATTTAATAAATGCGATTTATTATATATACAGGATTCGGATTCAGCGTCCAAAAAATTATGGGAAATGACTAGTCTCGTTATGGTTTTTTTTTTGTTGACTGTTTGTTTACTATGTAATATATGATATAGGTAAGGTCGAGTATTTCTATTCTCTTTCTATTAAAATGAAAAATGCGACACGCAAACCGGGATTGGACGAAGGATTAATTGTAAATAAGTCAAGTTGAAGCTTCACTTCCTTTTCGGATATTGTCGGGCATTAACGGGCATTGATTGTCGACGAAATATCGAAAATATTTGCGTTATCTCGCGAGATACACAATATATTTAATTTTAAGTGCGCGATCTCTTTTTCATCTATTTCATTTTATTTTCGGTAGTCTCGAGAAAGAAATTTCACAACGTTGTTCGGTTTAGCTGTTAAAAAGTATCATTTTCAACCTCTCAAACGGCGTGCGTCTTCATTATCTTTTCACTTCCGGTTGAGGTATCAAATCATTATTAACATTCGCTGTAATTGATAATTCAATGTCTCTTTTCGCGAGTAGCGATGACGTGACGATAAAATTAAAGACATAGAAAAATCAAGCATGACATAGTAAAAGAGAATAAAAATGGTAGAAGATATGTAGAAGCGATCATATACCTATCTATGTAGATGGAGAGAGGAAAGGGTGGAAAAGGATTAATATATACAAAAGATTCGTGCTACCCTTTGTTAGCAAATCAACTACGGTCATTATCCACCGCGAGTGTGTGCGCGGGTCCCCTCAGTTAGATGGGATGGAGACGCGCGCATTCAAGTTATTTAGTCATTTTCCAAGCTGAAAGACTTTCCCGCTTTACGCAGACTATAGAGAAGCGAAAATAACTTGGCCTAATCGGAATTCGCCCGGAAACGCTTGAAACGCTTTCTCGTGAAAGTATACATTTACAACTAGTGTCTAGGTGGTACCTACTAGTATCGCGTCGCGATACTAGTTGATCGGATACGAGATTAGGGTTGCAACAATATTGTTGATATACATCGATGCATCGATTTGTACCGAACAATGGCTTTTATTCAATTGATTCACACAGCACGGATGTGAATCCAATGTGCGATTCGTAATCATTCTGTTTCGTACATCAAAATGCCTACGTCGACGTAAATCGATTTCAATTATGTCGATATATGGTACAAAAGCCGTACCTAATCGAACTTGCAAAGCCTTGTAAAACTAGACGAGGACGTATCCTCTTTTTATTTAGTAGTCTCTGCACTGACTAATCGCATTGATTATGAAAGTAGATAGAGCGTGTCCGACGAAAAAGTTCGTACGACCATATATTCATCATTTCCCAGTTCTTGCTCTTGATAATTAGCACGCATCCGCGAACGCACCTGCGTATAGTCGACAACCCGTTGCACAACAACCAAGGTAATGCGTATACGTATAGATTTCCTGACCTATATATTCCTACCATGTTTCATCGTGCAGTGTCGAGCTAGCCTTTAGGTAGAGCTACTAGAAATCAAGTCTTAATTCCGCTAGGTTAATTTTAAATTTTCAGAAAATTGCATTGACATTTCATCAGCGCGATAAAAGCGCCTTTCGTACAGGCGATACACAATCAGGGCTTTCAGCTCTAATCTTTCAACTTGAAATATGTAATCAAGTACAAATCAACGAAGGAAAGCTGATTTTATTCTAGTGTCGTTTGAATATTTTGATTCATTGTTTGCTGTAACGCATATTCAACGCTGCGCGATTTGCGGCGTGTATATATACATATACACGGTATGTGGATACCGCACGCTTGCGGATACCTATCTCTGGCAACGAGAACCAAACAAAATGAAGCGTCAAATATAATTATTCGACATTATTATTCGTGCACGCGTACCAATTGCCATGTCTTGTTTCATACAAACAGACTATTATTTAGCGTTTAGCGTAACGCAAGCTAGTCACGCATGAGATATAGGGCGTGCGTCAATTGTCGATCTTTTCAAGTTGATTTCTTCAAGAGAAAATAGAGAAAAGACAACGCACGGAAAAAGAATGCACCTATCATACGATCATCGTTTTTTTTTTCGGACAAGTGTAGCAAAATACTGAATATAGGTACCACACGAGATTGCGATATACACGCGATAACTGCTAATTGCGCGGTATTGTCTCTTGAAGTGCTTATACGAATGCAAATTATTTCGAAAATATATAACTAAATTTTTAAAAATTTAAAATAATTTTAAAAAATTGAAAAATTTGGAGAAAATATCGAGTATAGGATTATATTACAACTTATTTATAACGAGATGTCATTAATATTGCTGATCCTGCGGTCTAAAGTTCATCTTAATTCATCTTAATTAATGTGTATATATCGATAACGAATTATCTGCACCTATTATCGATACCATTTGTATCTCTTAATTAATACTTAATATTCGTATTCGTATAATTTTCAAAAGCTCTACAAAGAAAGTTCTGCAAAGTGTGAGATATTGTCGAGAGAAGCGATAGAAAAAAAGATATAACAGATCTGGAACATTAAAGTTTCATTGTCAATATGTATATACATATTATACGAGTATATAAATTGTGTATCATAAGTAATGGAATCGGCGCATAAATTATTTGACTAATTCCTACAATAATGATTTCCATCATTTTCTGCGCTATTTTACATCGTTTATATTTCCATTTATGTCATGAGACATCACGTTACTATGATACATTAATTTTATGCATCGAGTCTACAGCGAAATAGCGTAGTTGGAGCGTTCTTGCTAGTCTATAATCCTACCCGCATATAAAAGCAGGTGTTTAATAAGTTCCAGATGGATAGATACACAAGGACGGAAGACGAGGCGAAGACCTTCGTACAATAGTGATTCCATTGTTCATGTACACTGACGTTGGCGAAGAAATCTTTAATGCTGCTCAAATAACCCATTTATATAAGTGGGACACACTGTGAATGTACGATGACCTCGTCTTTGCACCTGATACTTTTTTATCAGTGGATTAACAGTGATATAAAGAATTTAAATCGAAAAGTAGAATAAGAAATAAAGATAAATAAGAAGCAAGTATGGATGAAATCAAGAAAACGATAGAAGAATACAAAAGGGAAAAGCAAATGAGGAAAGTGATACTGAAGGAAACTGCAATGCACAAGCATATCGGGATATACTATTATTTTTTCAACCATTATCAAGTAAAGCTCTACTTTTTAAGATTCTCTCTCTCTCTCTCTCCTCCTTTCTCATAGTACTTGACACGCGTGTTAAGTGTGCGACGGAAACTCGCTAGTCTTCTCTAGAATGTATGGCACGAGCTTGTCCTCGCGGCTTTCAGGATGGGGACTGATCGATCCTAGCTAGCGTTGAATACAACTTCGTATCTCTTTCGGCATTGTTAATGAGTTATCCCTCGTCTGATTGTTGAAATGATTGATTGAGATGGCTGATATTCGGAAAGAAACAAGCACTTGCGCAAAAAAATGCTCTTTTCTTTAAACTTCCTTACGTGTAAACTATAATGTATGTATAAACTTGCAAATCAGTTTTCAATGCTTGAATCAAATTTAAATCAGGATTCGAAATTAATTTAATTAAGATACACTTACTGTTAGGCAAAGAATGTATATATAAAATCCAACGATAAAAATAGAAAGAATTCGTAAATTCAAAGAGATTAATAATCACTACGAACGAGGGCATCGATAAGATACTATTAAAGACCGACAATCTTATATAAGAAGAGTTAGCGTGGCTGTTAAAATTTAAGTAATTAGCCAACAAATATACCTAATATGAATTTTATGATTTATCATTAAGCCAATGTTTTTAGACATGTACATATATTTACAACTTGCTGACAAACTTGCTCACAAAAATTTGCCCAGAATATTGACGGACTTTAATAGTATCTCATCAGTGACGACGGCAAACGCTCAAGATAACTCACAAGAAGAATCAAGACGAAGCATCGAAAACCGTTGGCACGAATCCACGCGTATTTATTGCAAGGACTTCCAGCTATGTGACAAACGAATCGCAGACGCGTTTCACAGTCGGCGATTCTGGAGGACATTTTATGGCTCCCGCGAGAGTCTCCGTCGCGGAGAGCAATAAAAGCGACGTTATTGACATGATACAGCCATTATCGCGCACATGTTGACAAATATACAATTGCATAAAATCCATAACAAAATACACAAAAATTTGAAGATACCTATAAAAAAAGAGGACATATAAGATATAAAAAAATATTTTTTAAAAATATTAAATTAAATCGCAACTTTAGACATAGATAACAAATACTTTTTTTTACGATGATTGTTCACAAGATCACAATTGAGATTTACTAATGATTCAATCAACTAAATGACACAACTTTCTGTAAATGAATAAAAAATTCAATAAATAACAGGATTGGATTATTTAAGATGATTGAAAAAAGTAAATATCTCTTATCGGTGACTCATCGTGATAACTGAAGATTGTTGAATCATAATATGTATCGTAAAACTCATCGTTCCACGGGGATCATACGTTTATACATTAATACGAGAAACGAAGGAAAAGTTAATTTTATCGCACAAAAACCAACGCCGTTCTTTCGGTATTGAGGGATGCAACGAGTACACACAAGATGATGACTCGCAAAGAAATTGTACCACCATCTGATTGTGAAAGTTAATTCGCGAAATTTCACATTACGTTTCTGTGCTTAAAAATTTGTTCAAATAACACAATATAGGTATACCTTAGTCATTAGTGTTAAAGATCTATTTCAGAAATAACGTAACGTTCGTAAATTAACGTATAATTATACATAATTCCTACGCGATTAATGTTAACGATATGATTAATAAGTTGCATGTTCAGAGGTATAACATTGTGGAGGCACTTTCAGCATTTTCTCTGATTTTCCTGTCTTTTTAAGTGATCACACTCACGTGCTTCTTGTAACGTAAAAATTACATATAGTTGCTTATATATATCAACATTAGCAAATCGTTAATAATGTAACATTTTAATTTCCTCCCATCGCAAAAAAATCACATAATATAATATACACGAAGTTATGATTATTCATAATAGATGTGACTCACTTTTTCATTGGGTCTACGAAATACGATAGCCTTATCGCATTTGTGCTAGTAAATTACGTGCGCGTACTCTTTCATGTCGGTAATTATACTGGTATAATCATACAAAAGCAATCATACACTCACGATGAATCGTTTCAATAAGACCTAATAAACTAGACGATACTTGGTTGCATGTGTTATGATACATAGCAGATGATATGCAGCGTGATAGAATCGATAAAATGTATACGAATCAAGGAATTATGTATAAACAATTATAACATGAAAAATCGGTATATACGAGTAAATCTATTACAATTAAATGAATCATTTGCCAAATGTAGCTATTTCATAGAAAACTAAATATAATCCACAATAAAAATCAACTTATTTAGAATATTATAAGATTAATGTTGCTCCGTTTTAAAAATTTCTGTTCTCGAAATTAACAACAAACGTGATCTGTTCGCACTGTCGAGATGTTATTGCTAAAGAAAAGCATTTTATTCGTCTATTTGGAAGATATTCGGAAAATTACATCGGTATGTTGCGAAGAAACGATATCGAAAAGTCGATAATGCGAAGCAACGAAAATAATATACAAATAGAAGTGTACAAGATTATTTGTTAGGTTACTCTCATTTCGTCTCTGTGATATTATTGTGTAATTGAAAGATTTTTTTTCAACAGAATCATTCATGTATGTTTTCTTCCCTTTTCTCTGGTCCCTTCCTCCTTCTCTCTCCTTCTCCCCCCCCCCTCTCTCTCTCTCTCTCTCTGTCTCCGCGTGTAAATATCCTAAACTCGCATATTAGATTTTTAATTTCTTATTCTTATCTTATTTCTCTGCGTTTCGCTTTCCATTTGCGTGTGAAATTGACACGTTGCGAAATTGATACATATATAGGTATGTGAGTCAAATAGAATCTTAATGATACTCGCGAGCGATTAAGATCGACTGCGTGCATCAGTAGATATACCTATACCTACACCGCAACCTTCTATCGATTCAGCGGCACGTGCGTATAATTCGTGCACATAACATCGCCGTTACATCACTTGCAGAAAAAGAATAAAAATTTGCGTGTATAGAGAATATATAAAAGCCGCGAGTTTTCCCTACATAAGACGATATCGCTATCGCTATCGCCATCACGAGTCATCGTGTTGTAAAAATAGCGTGACATTTCATCGATCGTATAACATACTCGTAAAAACGTCACGACTGTGCCAACACGAAACAATTTGAAAATAGGTTCGCGAAATTCGATTAGAATTTCGATCCTTCGTTCGTCGCCCTACGCGCGAGGTTCAGTACACTCCTACCCGAAGATAAATGAAGATGACATACTAAATGGATCAACGCGACGCAACGTATCAAATATGATGCAGACAGTTTTCATATATATTCATAATCTCAATGCGTACATTGTTCCAAGTTTATTCGAGTATCATAAAAATATAGCAAGTGCTTGAAATAATTCCATAAAAATGTCGAATGAACGAATGAAAAAACTGCTCTACAGCTAATGTAATTTGGATTTATTTTACACTATACCATTTAAGCTATCGTATCCAATCACCGTGGAGACGACAATGTTATCTGAAACGCGATAAGAATATGTGCTTTAATTATCTGGCGCGAATACGCTTTCGATACTTTATCAATTGGTACGCAGCGTTAGCGCTTTTGAATGGCAATATGAAAAGTTTTTTTTTTTTTCAACTCTTTCTTTTAAATATCACCATAAGCTACGCCGCTCGAATACACAACTTCGCTTCAACGCATCCGCTGTCTGTCAGAGATTAAATGTGTCATATAAGAATTAAATGTCTGTATATAGATAATTTTGTGTTGCATTCTGCTATAGGTACGTCCTGAAAAAACATGAGCAGAGCAAGTAAGCGGAGAGATCAAAAATTGCTCACCGATCAATCTTGTCCATTGTAGTAGGATGTTGCAAGATGGTTTGCTGCCCCGTCATCTCGACGACGCATTGCGTACAGAGTTCCAGCTCTGTAATAAGAAAAAAAATATATCAATCGAGATTCAGATTCTGCTGTTAACGCTGTAAGAATAATCTTTTTGCGTTATCTGTTATCTCTACATATATCTCCACAAATTGTACTTTGGGTCAAATGTATACTACATACTATATCGTTTATATAATAATATATTTATATATTAATTATTTCATTCTTTTAATCATCATGTTACGGCGTACACAAATAAAGTTGAGTCAACTGATAATTGTTTAATAAACATTACGCGAGGGTTCATCCCGTTCACTATATCGAAATGCGAGTAAGCAGAATCTTGTATATTTAGTCATGTCTTTCTCACAATCGGTATAAAAAAAATGTCATCAAATTAATCAAGGTTTTATTTAAACGTGACAACACAACAAGAACTTGTGCAACTTTTAATCAATTGTATAGAATGTGTGTCGTCATACATATGTAACATGTAACAATACCTGCATAACAAGACGATCGCTCAATAAATATCAAATTTTGGTAATAAGATGAGGCTAAGCTGTTATAAATCATGATTATTAGATTTACAAAGTTGCGTCACAAAGCTGTTGTCCCACTTATTGATTAACTTAATGTGAAAAAGACAATAATGTGTTGCATGCGTTGCGTTGCCTTGGAAAAAATCATGAATGGATTAAAAATTAAGTAAAAATTTAAAAGGAATTAAATGGAATGATATCAATTGACTTTAGCGATGACTTTAGCGTCGGCAAAGCGGAAAAGGGAAAGCGAAAATGTATCAGATAACAGATCTTTGATACTAATTTAATAAAATTAGATGGTAACCAACTTGCCACTTTGATAGCGTTTCTATACAATTTCCGTCTATGATTTACTAAAATTCCATTGCTTTTTTCGTTATTATATTATAAAGAGATAAATAAAATAAAACTGGCAATTGCAATATAGTTGCACACGACTTCTTACGGACACAGAGATATGATAGGAACACGATGATTAAAATTTATTTCTTTCGCTAAATTTATTGATCTTATTCTTCCTAAAAGAAAATATTAGAAACATATTGTACATCTGAAACTCTCGGTAGTCGAAGGAATCTCGAAAGCGAATCTTTTTCTCAATGTGATGATACTGTAGAATAACTACTTTTGTTAGAGGATAAATACTACGCGCCAGTTTGAGAATTCGCAGGATCGTTTTAAGTCGGCAGGTTGAATATGCATCTGATAAACCAGATACATGTACTCGTGGCCAAAGTATGGCAAATCGAAGAGTGCAAAAATTACACAATTCAAAAAAAAAATCGAGCGATGTTAGCGAGAACTTTTGTTATTTAAATGATTAAGATGAATTTTTTCACTTTTGTACGCACAAAGTGAAAGTAATTTTTACTATGAGCTTTCTCGTTTATTTCAACTAAGAATAGTACATGTTAGTAAAGTTTTGTATTTACTTAATAACAGTTAATTACGATATCTTTTTCGCCCGATTGCTCAACGGTAGGAAAATGAGAGTACGAAGAACATCGTTTAATTTTTCAATTCTATTTTACAGTATTATCCATATTTATAAAATTTGTAGAAAAAAAAACTGTAACTGGAGTATTTAAAAAAAAATGAAAGCGCAGGTTATTCTCTTATTTTTCATCAAAATAGTTTAATCGGGTCAGTTTAGAGACCGTTTCTCTCTGTGCACTTTCTCTATGAAATGAATTTCTTGCGCTCGTCATTTCGTATCATTGCATTATCTTTCGCAAGATAAATAATTTAGACGATATAGAGCGACCTATTGAAGGAGAAATAAGGCCAAGAATCAGAGTGATATTATTCAAATTACATTATCGCGTAACCTTTGTGCTATCTTGATAATATAAAATCGTTAAAGCCGATTAAAGGCAGGGAAATGACCGGGATGATAATTCTGACAGCGGTTAAGAAAAGGATGATGATTCATAAAACTAAGTAGAAAGTAAATGGCAATGGCTTCTTTGTATGCCCGAGTGCAACGTCACGTAGCACGTTACACCATGCTGTAACAAGTACATAGAACGTTTCAGGAAAGTTAAGAGTATGCGGTAATAGAAGGTGCAATGCCATCCAAATTAAGTTAGTGTGCAAGTTTAATTAGATAGATATTAATATACACATTATAACACTTTATGTATATTGGACGTACCTACATGTATTAATATCATCCTATAATAAATATGATACGCTTCACAAATATGATTATATATATTGATCTATTCTTATCGTTATATTTATCATTATGTGTACAAAAATTTATGATACATTAAATATTGTTTGTAAATTATCTGTAATTGCACCTTGTATGATCATCAAGAAGATACAAAAAGAATATACTCAAAGAATTGAAAATGCAACGCATGTCCGACTTGTATAAATATCAATTACCGCATCTATGTATATGCTTTCTGTATCGTGCCAACAGCTTTCGGCATCACTATTATTTCCGTTGTAAAAGTAGTTACTTATATTTCTACATGTAATGGGTTATTTACGTAATTTACAAATAATTGTGGGAGAAAGATATCGTGGACAAAAAAGAGAGAAGAGATCGAGGCTCTGAAAGATTGGAAATTTAATTGATAGTTAGGTAGGGTAAATGATAAAAGGAAGTATCGGGCAAGGACTAATTGTTGAATAACGAGAACCATGCCTTGATTACGTCAACAACGACGTTCGCGCGTCGTGTAAATTAAATCTTACAAGCGCGAAAGTTTGACGATTAACATGCGGGAAAATTACGTAACCTTACCGTAGAATCACGTTACTCCGTTACCGTTTTCATTCCTACATCCTTTGCCTCGTTAAAGTCAGCGCTAAAAGACTTGAGACGGGCGCAGGATGACACGATGACGCCATCATACGATCATATACGTCGTATACGAGTACGGAATTATTTTGGATAATATTAATAATAAGACACGTATAACGTGATGCACACCGTGCGGAGAGCCGCACGGATAAACGCGCGCACAACACACTTGCGTCTCAACGCGATTAATTTCAAGAGCGAATGTGAATCCATCACTCGCTACGTATCGATAGATAGTTTAATGACAATTGGAAAATCACCTTTCCAGTTACTTAAACAGCGAGCAACAATACGCGATCTTTCGCGATACTCGCGCAATCCTCGAAAACGAGTCCTCGATAATTTCCCGGTGATTACGGGATATCGAAAAGCATGTTTCCCCGATCAGATCGATATTCCAAGGTCATCGGACTAATGTCATCGGAGCGTGGCGTTTTACTCGGGTATGCGTTCTCGCGTTTTGTCACGCCTTACCACGTGCTGCCATTTGCTTTTATTCTTTCTCTATAATTAACTGTAAGTCGCAATCAATCTCCAAAATTTACAACAACAATTTTACCGCACGCTCGCGAATTATCGTGTCGTGCACGCATGTTGCGTCGCGTCGCGTCGCGTCAAGTGAGAATAAAGATGTAAGTATAGGTACACATTTTAGCAATTCGCATCTGGAGGAACTTTAAAGCCGCTCGGATACCTTTGGACACGACTAATAATAAGTAATTCTTCACGAGAGCCATCGTGAATTCAATTTCACGTGAATTTTAATTAAGTGTCAATCGTTGTAAAGATATCATTCAATGTTGACATGAATGCGGTAAGCTTAACGCTTGATAGAAAGATGCAGACAAAACTCATGTTTGATTTACTTTTTTTTTTTTCTTCGACGCGGTTGCGCAAAGCGCTTTTCACACTGATATAAAAATCGGACAGTTATAAAGCACGTTTGGTGCGAAATGTATATAGCTGGAGCATGAATCTATATCGCGATGAGTCTGCAAATCTCGCAAACATAAAGTATTGTCTTGTCTGGCTCGGCGACGATGGTCGCTTCGATCCTGCTCGCCTCGCGCGGCTGAGGTTGCCTGCACTTGAGACTCTTGATGCGACTCAATAAAACGATAACGAGAGAACGGCAACGCGAATCGAGCGGATCGAGTGAAAACTATCGCTCCGTTGAGTTCCGCGATACAGAATTGAGGGTCAATTACATTTTTTCGTGAAACATTTCTGAACCTCTCCGAGCACCCATGAGATGCCACCCATGAGTCCCATGACGCGCGAGACAAGGCGAGCGGAGACGAAACGAGACGAGACAAAGCATGACGAAGATGAGGTGAGGCGAAGCAGTGCAGAGTGTGCAGGCGAGGCGGGGCGAAGCTCCATTCGAGTTGGAGGCAAAGAGCGAGCTGCATGGACGCGCGCGCGTGCGCGCGCGCGCGGCGTTAAGTCGTTTAAGTCGCGAAATGACGTGAAACGGCGTCAAGAGTGACGAAATACATACCTCTGCGATTGAACGGCCGGACCCGTACAGCAACCTTTATTTTATCCGTAGCCATGACTTTTGTACACCGGTAACTCTCTCGCTGTCACACACAATCGCGAAAAACCGTTTAGCACGATTACGCCTGCACGTGATTACGTCTACTTTCGCACGATTCGCACATTATTCTCCGCTACATTATTCTCAACCCATACCGCGAACCTGTCATCTTTCGAACGACACTACGTGTCTACACCAAGCCTCCCGTGACACACTTCGCCATATTGCTTAAAGCCCGTCGTCAGTTCTCTCGGCGTTAGACAACGAGACGGTCACATCCAGGCTGCTATCGAGGCTATCGAATGAACGTGTTTCCGAGAATCGCCGTTAGGAACGCTCGCGATTCGATAAGCGAATGACGTCACCAAACATCCCGCCCGCCATCCATGGCATCTGCGCCATCTACATAGGAGAGCCGTAAGTCGACGATCAACACAATGAGGATTTTAAGCGCTACTAAGGCTGGATCCTCATGCAGACACCGATGCTTTGACACCTAAGGGCGAATTCACACCTTGACAGAAAAGTGGAAAACAGAAAAGCAGAAGCCAATCAGAAGGTACTCTCACTGGTAGCAAGAAAAGCAGAAAGCAAAAATTATCGACTACCAACGCGAGTTCTGATTGGCTTCTGCTTTTCTGTCAAGGTGTGAATTCGCCCTAACGCTGATTGACGGAAAACAATTAGTCCTATCTTAAAATTGCCGTATTACCTGCGTTGAAGCCTCTTTTTCCCAATGTTTAAAAATTCATATCTTCCAAAAAAATAAAGATATAGACTTCTTTCTGAGCTCATCTGAAAGATGAATTATGTGACTATATTTTTTAAGAAATCGTGATTTTATTTAAAAATGCGGCCGATTAAAACGTCATTTTATTGAAAATTGTTAAAATTTGTTTAATTAAAATGTAATTTGGTATAAATGTTATTGGACAATGTATGCAGAGTTTAATACGCTGCGTGCGCGAAGCGCGCGCCTGTTATGTACATACTAGTCGGGGTAAATAATAAAAGAATTCTCTCGCTATTTACCCCCTCTAATCGTTTTCCGTCAATCAGCGTTCATTAGGTGTCTGCATAGAGATTTTTCATGTAACGTGCATATCGCGTAACCGCAATCGAAAGCGTTTTCTGTTAAAAGATTATATAGCGTACATACATGATAGCCAATCATATCTTGATATTCTTTTACACTGTTCCAATAAAAATTGCAAACGTCGCAATTCATTGGTTACGCGCATTTATAATATACTCCATGGGACATATGGAAATAAATTTTGCGTAACAGAAAACGCGTAACGTGTAACGCCCCTGATAGATTACACAATACGCGTTACGTGAAAAATCTCTGCCATGGGACGGCACTCTCACATCCAGAGAAGCTCGACCGATGTTACGAGTCCTGATTGGACTCGCAAATAGCCAATCAGGACCAACCAGGACTCTAGATTTGTCCAACAGCTGACTTTCACGCGATTGTTTATCTGTATCACACGCGTGACGTAGATCGTAGGTTATGTAATACGAACACAATAGTTTGGCGGTATCTTGCCAATCTTGAATTTGCCACGAACCACTCGAATATAATTTCTCTGTGGGTCGTATGTGGCTAGTAGAATGTGAACACAAAAAAATCCATACGAGGATACAATCTTAAAAAAACGAGATTTCGAGATTTACTCAAATATAACCTATCATTTGTGAAAATGATTGTCAAATTCGAAAAGATAATAAGTTGTTCCTCGGAACACCCGTTGTATCCTGCCGCCAATCTTCTCCAACGTAATTCAGAAAATTGGAAAGCTACATGGCGGTGTAGCAAACCAGGAGAAATGCTGGCACACGTCATCTTTCAGCTCGCTGAGCCCTCTTATATCACCGGAGTCGACATTGGCAATTATCAGAGTTGCGTGGTCATTGTCACTGGATCTACATCGTCGGAACCTGACAATTGGATAGTTATCGTCAACCACAAGTTCATGACAAATGATGAAGCTGCAAACGATAAATTTAAGGATCAAGTTCAATTATTTACTAAAAGAGAATTAAATCCAGATACTTTGAAGATTAAATTTGACCGAATCAAAGTTACTTGCATGCAATCGGCTAATTTAAAAGTTTTGTTTGGATTATCGTATGTCATTTTGAGGTCAGATCCCACAATCGATTTAGGCTTGGACGCATTTGGCAAATTTAAATTGAAACAACCACATGTCGTCAAGACACCCATGGAAATGATGAAGGAAAAAATTCTTAACCAAACAGAAACTACTAAGACAGATTATAAGAAAGAATTACGTGAGCAAATAAAAAAAGATTCAATGGAGAATTTCGTTAAGTGTCAAGAAGGACAAAAACTTGTCAAGCGACCATTATTAGAAAAGTTAGAAGCTGGAGAAGCCGATCAAGTTTTTGGGAAAAACGACAAGACTCAACCACAATGTTTAAAAGATAAAGATAAGACATTTAATAAAAGTCCCAAAAATGGCAAAAATGTATCAAACGAAAAAGTGATGAGAACTCCTTTTGGAGACGCTATACCTTCACAAAATATCGATGCTAATAAAGGTAATATAAAAAATACAACTCAGAGTAGTCCTTCGAGTTCTAAGAAACGCTCTTTGAGCAAACTGGAGAATTCGCCAAATGTAAAATTCAGGGAAAAAAAGAAATGGAAGTGCTCCGAGTGTTGTGCAGAATCACAGGATCAATTATGTACAACTTGTCAACGATTGCCACAGCCCAAAGACATTGAAAATGCTCCTTCGCAGGGAAGCGCCAGGGTTCTTGCAAAATCCAAAAAATTATTTAAAGAATTACTCAACGACGTTACATTCTCTCTCAGCGGATACGTTAATCCACAGAGAGACGAAATTAGAAGAAAGGCTCTTAACATGGGTGCTAGGTATATTCCTGATCCAAATACAACTAATAAAAAATGTACTCATTTGATATGTGCTTTTAAAAATACACCAAAATACCAGCAATTCAAAAATCACACGAAAATTATTTCTCATACTTTCATCGATGAATGTTTTGATAAACAAAAGAGGTATATATATATATATATATACATAAAGTATGTTAAAGTAGATAGTGGGAAAAATGTAAACAATTTCATCAATTATTTTCTATTTCATAGATTCCCTTGGAGGCGATACGCTTTAGATCAAAAGGAAAAATTGCAACCTGAAAGTGAAGAAGAAATTGATGGTGATCAGTCGGAATCTGTATATGACATGGACACCGATGCCGATTCAGATTATTAAGATTTCGATTTAATTACATTCTGAACTTTTTTTTTATTTTTTATTGTTACCGATTCGTAACGGATAAGGTGTGCCTTGAAGATAGCTGTTAAATGTATAAAAGTTCATAAAAAAACTCGCACATCTTGTTATGGATGATTCTTTTAAAGAGAGTAAAATATTAGTTTGTCAGTTATCCATTATACAAATTGTAAAATGATTGTACGTCCACATAACGTTGGATTAAGGATCAAAAAAGTATTATATCTGCGATATATATATATATCTATTCTCTCTCTATTCACAAGTTTATATTTTGAATTTGCAGTACACTAGCTGCACGTAAAATTTAAGGGAAAATAGAATATACACGAGCCAAGTTTATAACACGTATCCTAACGAAAGTACATAATTTTTCTACCTAATATAAATATATAATTTGATATCGAATGGTGATTATTAATTATTGTTATTCTCGGTACAGCCAAAATTGTCGGTAATGTCAGTATCGTTCTTCAGTTACCCTCCCCTCCCCTCCCCCCGCCCCAAGCCCATAGTTGCTAAGCACGAAATTTGCCAGGAAGTAGGAACGTGTTGCCGCGATGCTGGAATGTGCTGGAACACACAAATGAGACGATTGTAAATGGCGTGCGTTTGAACAACTTGCAAGCTAATCTGCTATAATAATCGGTAACTCTTCCTTAGAATGGCCCATGTAAATAGCGTGTTTGGCTTCGAGCTCTTTCAAAAACTTTATCACGATGATATCCATAAAAAGGAAGACGTGATCATTTTGTTTGTGCATTGGTATTTGACAAAGTCTGGATTTAGGTGCATAGGCATCGGGGACGAAGTAAGTAGTCTTCTTATAAGAAAAGACAGATGTACATCACTCTGCGTTTCGCTCTGTAATACTGTAATTTTATATATTTTCATTGTTCTTACATTACATTAAAAGCAATTGTAGTAATGACGTTCTTGGACGTTTTAAGATTCTAACCTATACAAAGCTCGTAAAATATCGTAATTTTATTATTACAATTTCTCAATTCTAGATATCATTTATTAGGTTTGAATAAAATCTTTTGTTTTCAAGAGTGTTACCAAATGCATTAGATTAGAAAATAGACATTTATTATATGCGTTTAATAAGAATTTCGCACACGTACATACGTATACTGCAGTTAATACGTTGTTATGTATATATATGCGTAATTATTTGACAAACGACATTCAAATTTCTAATTCTTTAGACAATATTTAGTACATCAGAGAAAGGATCCGAATTACTTCCAGCGGAATGGAATTTACGTCCCAATTATGCGTTACGTTATGTAAAAGATGGAAAATTACATGTACTTCTCGGAGTCAAATCAGATATGGATCTACTGTTGAACTTGATGGTAATAATTATATAATAGCAGCAAAATTTCAAAGTTGATTAATTATTAAGGCGAAATCGCCTGTAATATGTTATGTTCAATATTATTCTTACAGAGGCACTATGACAATTCTGTTTTTAACATTTCATTCCCTATCGAGGGAACTGTATCTACGTTACATGGATCTTTAGACAATGTAATACCATCTTATCAAACAATTTTACATAATATACAAAAAGATTTTGTAAGCCCGATGTGCTCCAACGAAGCAGCGACTCAAACAGCTATATCAAATAACCCTGAGCGTTCCTCCGAAATGAATGAGACTCCAGTACGTAATGATCACAATCCATTGAGAGTAGGACCCAGTCATCGGCCATTAAATCGGTAATTCAACATCGACATTTGATTTATTGTCCATATTTCTGTTATATTCAATTTTTGGCTCAGATTTTTTAATTGCAAATCTCAAGTAATAAGGACTTGGTCTGCAGCATTTATAGAACAGATATTGACATCATTATATTTCATTATGTACAATAATATTAGTATGTATGTGTCGAATATACGTTGCTCTATACAATTTTATTAATACGACATAGTGTCTCTTTTATCAGATATCTAATGTATCATTCTGTCTGTGGTCTTGTAGCTAGTAATATAATTAAAATTTATCAATTTTCTGTTCATTAGACCTGAATATGATCCTGCGAGAGTAGGAGTTAGAGATCTTGATCCCTTGGGAGAAGGCAGTGGCATGATATTTGATCCATTTGACATGAGGCGCCGTGTAATTGGACGTTCACCGGGTGGCTTAGGAGTACCTGGAGTATTGCCGCCGTATGTTTTGTGATTACTAGCCAGCGTGTACGTGTATGTGTGTGAAAAATCTATTCTCCAATTTTATTCTTGAATTTAAACGTTATATTGTAGAGGTGCGATACCACCCGGTGCAAGATTCGATCCTTTCGGTCCACCTGAGCTGGATCCATTGAGGCCACACCGTCGTAGACCCGACGACGATCATTTACCTCCTCCAGGATATGAAGATATGTTTCAATAATGTATCAAAAAAAAAAAATGAAGATAAAAAGTACAAGTACAGACAGTTTTTATATATAAGTACTCTAAATGTCTATATGATATTATACAGACATGCCCTCTCACTAATATCTTCTAAAATATATTTCAATGCATTGTATACAAGACATTAATATATGTATAAAGAACCGTACATATAAAAGATACATGCACATATTTCCCCGGATACGGGAATAAAGCTAGAAACTTTATACAATGTATAATTAAGGTATCAAAATTATTTGTAAAACATTTCTTTTTTCACAAAACAACTTCCATTCCTTTTTATTTCATTATTGATGTTTACAATGTAACAAAACAATTTCTTGTTTAATTAAAAGTAATTGTGTGTAATGATAGATAGGAAATTATATTGAGAAATTAAACAGTAATATTTGTTTAAATTGCGCTAACTCTCTTTATTTTTATTTATTTGTAATCAATTCGTAGGGTGATTGTTCTTATTTTATTTTGTCGGTTCAAAATAGAGGATTTCTTTGCTATCTAAATTGTTCTTTCTTGAAATATTCACATTAGACATATGATTAAACACAAGAGATCTTTATCAATACATAAAATTATTATATTATTTAGATTCACATCAAAAATTAAAAATCTATTTTTAAAAAAGATGATTTTAACTACAATTGCATTTGTTTTTTTAGTAACATTAATTTTTGCAGCAGTTCGATTCATTTCTTCGAGAAATAAAATATCCACACTTTAAATGTATCGTTCATAAGTAAGTGTTATTGCACAGCAGAATAATTTTTACATGTTATACATTGTAATTGAATGTTTAATTTCAAATAAAACAGCAACGTGCATAATTTTCTACAACTGTTAGCATCACAGCAACTTGAACAACCACAGTCCTACTTCTCAGTCTATACTTTTTTTATGCACATAGAAAAAATTATATCACAGATATAAAAAGAAATATTTAATATTTCTAATTATTTAGCGATTTAATTATACACTTGAAGAAGTGAATCGATGTGCAGAAGTAATAATTTAAAAAAAAAACTATGAAAATTATACTGGTAACTTTTAAGATAATATCTATATTTCGTCACGAATATCGGCATGATTTCTTTAGAAAGGACTGTTATTAAAAAAAACATGTTAAATTGCTTTTATTATCATAAATGAATTAGAATTAAACGGATAAAAGTAATATTACTTTGCCATCTAAGATTGGATCATTTGCTTTTATATATATCCGAATATCCCTCGTCCCATCCTCTGGTAAAAAATATTGCGGTTTTTAATATTACAAAAAAGGAGCGGTACCAGATTTTAATTTCGATTCGAGTCTGCGATTGTAGTGAATGTATCCTATTGTAACCCGTTAAAGAATACGTACATACATACATATGAGTAATTAAAGTTGTCTCTTGTCTATTTGATAGCTAGGTAATCGATTTTATATATATATATATATATATATACACCAATCGATTGATCAATTATTGTGTTACATACGCTTGTTATAAGAAATAAATTATCAATACACGATTAAGAAACGTAATGTATAACGATACGTAATCATTGGTGTCACGTTCTGGAACACAATAGTGAGGGTCTCTCGGGTGGCAATTAAATTTGTTTGGTTGAATGTAGCAATACATAACAACCAGAGAGACTTGATTGCCATATAACCATTGTGCAACAGTTTCATTTCCGGTACGCAATTCGTCATTCATTGTTGAACAAGTCAATCAGGAGCAAAGGCGGCATACGAATACAAAATAACGTACATTCACATAAAATCAGCAGACACGCGTGAAATGTTCTAAGTATTACAAGTATTACTTCGTTATTATTTTACGAGTGAATTTTTCTATCCTTTGAACACAGTTTAGTGTGGCGTACACAGCATCATTGACAATTTTACCAAAATAGTAGACGATGATGACTTTACATAATATGCTTGTATCAGATTGAAAAACCTACTTTGACTAAAAGAGATATGCAAAGATTTTGGTGAAATTGTCATTGAGCTACGGTAATACGTGATATACAGCTCTGGAGTGATTTGCTTCACATTTGTTTCACATTATCCATCACTCAAGTTAACGCAGATTCCAAGTCCGATAAGAGTTAAAAACATCCATCAGCGGTTCGGTATGCCATTGGAAATGCAACGTAATGTGTTTCTCTATTGTGTTCTTTAAATGAAAAATCTTAAATTTAATTTGAAATACTTAATAACTCTAATGCTGCGATTCACATTTTATCATGTTTCCAACAAATCTTTGTGCCAAGTATTAAAATGTGTAATTCAAGCATAAATTGTCGCTATTTAATATTTTTTTAATTAAAATTAATGTTAGCTATAATTAACAGATGTTATGCCTGTATATTATGTTTGTAATGTAACGAAAAAAAAGACAGTAGCTTATATATTGCAATGCCATGTTTTGTGTGATGTGTTTAATATGCATACGTACTCCCTTAGTATAAAATTAATTATTTTTTATTATGTCTTGATTCATCGGTCGTAACAATTTTGATTTTCGAGCGTCTTGAAATTTCATATTTTGCAGAATTGCGACTGTGCGTGAGATAGATAATATCGAAAACACCTGTCTGAAACATTATTCTTTGAAAAGAATACGAAAATATTAAGTATTTTCATTTTATTTGGATCATATGCTGTGACAAATATATATAAAAACTTTTTAAAAGGTAGTATCATATTTGATATTCAAAGCAGATTGATATACTTTGTTTAAAAAGAAATATAATTATATGTGAATATTTATTCCAATTCGGATATTTGCATACATCTTGAAATTTAGTTTGTAATCGTTCAATGTGTACCATTTTCTAGACATTTGCAAATATTTTATTTTTTTCTCTCTCTCTCTCTCTCTCTCTCTCTCTCTCTCTCTCTCTCTCTCTCTCTCTCTCTCTCTCTCTGTGTGTGTGTGTGTGTGTGTGTGTGTGTGTGCGCGCGCGCGCGTGTACGCATATATCACAATCGCAACATAATTTTAAATTTTTTTGTCTAATTAGACAAATCATTTTCTTTTTATTTATTGCAATTATAAAGAATTTTGATTTCGTAGAAATCGAGAAGAAGATAAGTATACATAATGTACGAGTTTGTACATGTACGAATAACTCTCGCGTCATGATTTACAGTAAGGCTAAATGGCAATAATATAGTTTCAATTGTTTTTTTTTATGGAATAGTTATTACCATTTCAAGACTTAATTTTTGTTCTTCCATGGTCAATATTGATCAAGTATCAAAATTAACATAATTAAAAAAAAAAAAAACCCGGAAATATAACAATTTTAAAGCGAATTCCTCCGTTCAAAGCAATTCAAAGGCTCATCTTGAAATATAAAATTAAATAATAATGCAAAATATGCCCCAAAATTGGTTGATACTTGTGCAACCAACGTTGCATTTCCAGTGATAGACCATTCAGAACAGATTTGCTACAATATGCCACTTGTTGTCAGGCGCAAAATTCTACACATTTATACCAATCAGTATGAATTAGTGACTTTTTTTTCATCTTCGCTTCTCTTTTTTCTAAAAAGTTCTTTGATCTATTGGATGCAGCAGGAATTTTTTTGTCCATTCTTGAGCTTCAATCGAGATTTAGGACGATACTTTTCAAGAAAAGTTAACTGCTTCGCGTTTATGGCGCCTCGTCTTTTTCTGGAACAAAGAGGAAAAAATGATATTTTCCATTTGATAGTTTAAGCATTCCTGGCACTGTTTGAGCAGCTGAATATTATTAGAAGAGTACAATAAGGCGACTTACTCTCTGATAAGGGCAACAGCATCTTCGAACTTGAGCCCAAGTTCAATGAGAGCTAATGCAACCAAGACCGGTGCTCTACCAAGACCCGCGACACAATGCACCGCCACACATGCGTCAGGTGATTCTCGGAATCGGTTCTTTAGCAACTCGAACCATTCATCCACCACCTAAAAGATTGATATAAATAATGAAAGATACAAACATTTGTTCGTTCGAGTTTATTTTTTCCTACTGTTATCGCAATAGTTTTATCGAGAAAATCGAGTCGAAAGATGAAAGTTTTACCTCGTTCGGTGGAAATGTACCATCGTCGAATACCAAATCTATCACATTGATCCCTTCTGATTTGAGTTCCTCTACTTTATACGTTGGTTCGCAAACTCTCACCACCTCCTTTACATTGTGCTTTTTCAGTTCCTATTCAAGAAACATAATTGTGCAATAATATATTAGACAGAAATATTAAGTATAAAAGATTTGGCGTGCAGGGGCGATGTGCCGCGAACAGTTACGTTCGTACTAACTTGAATAAAAGTATGGATGGTTTGATCATTGGGCCGATCAGTGATAAGGAACTTCATGTTTTTGTATTCAATCTCGGCGGGCGCCGGTCTGATATCCTTCACCCTCATGTTGCTCATTTCCTTCTTAACCACAAAGATGGTTATATATCTATCTCCCTCTTGTTGTTTTTAACTCTTAAAGATCTTGTACGACTCGTCTCTTAGAATCTCGTACGTGTGCCACACTATACGAAGCGACAAAGGCTGGATTTGACAGCAACTTAGCCCATTAAGTGTCAGTCTTATAAAGTTGTTTTTCATTTAACTAATAGAATATTTTATTTTTTTACAGAGGACAGAACCGTGGGTTTACATGTAGATTTTAGAAGGGATCGTCGGGGTGCGAACTTCGCCGAAAAAGTATGGGCTACGTTACATTAGGCGATGTTGATATGCGCTTTATTCTTCCCACTTGAGACTTTTTGACTATAGTTCACGGAAGATTACCTGAAATCAATATAATTGTAGGTATAATTTAAATTTATACTGATTAGAGATAGATGAAGCTCTCTCTCTCTCTCTCTCTCTCACGGCTTTTTCACGGACAGCTTTTATGCTACGCTCACCTATTTGGCACTGGGTGCTCCTGTGACAGGTGCGCTCAGTATCTACGATGCTTGCATCTACTAAGGTAAATTAATAATTTCTATTAAATTCTTCTATGTCTTGCGTGATGACTAGTTGATGATTTTTCTGGCTTCCCCGATGTAATAATGCTCTACTACTTTAATGTCCTTCTTCCTTCCTCCAAGATGTTTCTAGCCTTCCTCTCTTTGCTTTAATGTCTAATAATTGTCAAGGAGTATGGGCGTGTCTCTCTATTTGTGTTGAGCCTGGCAGTATTCTGCGCTATCCAACTGAAACTCCATGTATGTGAGGATGCACTCACCAGGAAACTGCAACACAACAACATCAAAGATGATATGACTATGCGTTTCTCGGTTACGTAATAAAATAATAATTTTAAAGCAATCATTTTCATTTCACGCGCTATTTTCATTATATTTCCACATAACAATAGTGAACTTTCGCGCGGCACGGGGCGACGTGGAGGATCACGCGTTAGTAGCAAGCCTGCGCTCGCTGCCAATTCTCGAGCGTGTTCTCGAGAGCTTCAACACGCGTGCAAGGAATACTATTTCGTCTTCGTATTGGTTTTTTCTATCTCGATAATAATTATATCATATAAAGAAAAAAATATTCGTCAAAATAGTATCGTATTCAGAATAATTATAATATTTCAGAATAATTTCAAGCAATTTTACCTTGGCTAAAATTTACTATTGAATGGCTGAAATCTTATTCGGGTATGTGCAGGGTGTAGGTTGCAGAAAAAATGTTTCCAGATCCATTTTTAAATAGAAGATGCTAATGTTATACGGCCGCAGTTTCTAGTTGTTCTATGCCAAGCTTGCGCGCTGTCGCATTCGACAACGCGCCGCGCGTAGTTGACCTCTCGATCTTTCGCCGAGGCTAATTTGCGAAAGCCTCCCTTTTGCGTAACGCTAACCGTCGATATGCGATATACGGACGTCACTGATTGACGGGAAAGAATATGACCCCCTCCCACCCCTGACCGACATCTAGACGGACATGCACCAGAATAACCGAAATTGGCAGGTGAGAAGAAGCGCGAGCGAGAGGCGCGGGCTATACACGCTTCGTTCGAAACGCCGCCAAGGACAAATTCATCACGATGGCGTCGCATGTCGACCGCTTCGACTGTATTCTATTTCTTTAACATGATGCCATTGAAGATATATGTGTTAAAAGGTAGAATAGATATATTGGCTAGATATTTGGAAATTTCCAATTTCGATTTTGAGATCGAAAGAGTTATTCAAATCGCACGTAACAACATTTGATAACGAAATTTAAAAAAAAAGAAATGGAATCGAACGTGTCTATAATGATATGCGATTAGTGTAAAAATTTGGTCCATTTGACGGCATATAAAGGTCTTCAGAAGGGACTGTATACAAAAATAGATATATACATAGAAATTCCAAGGCGTAAAATTACTGGAATCAACCTACAGATCTACTTGGGCTATGACGCATTTACAGATTTGTTAAACTGTGTGGAAAATCAATTTACATTCTTTATGCAGATAATATATCTTAGCTCAGCTTTGCACAACATTAACAATTTTCCGAGAACTCCTCTGGACGATACGTTCCCCTATTAATCTCATATAGATCTTTTAGAAAAGATAAAACATAAAACGCGCATTTGTTTAGACAAATTAGCTCATAATAGTACTTTATCTTATCTGTGTGTGAGCATACTCTCTATAAGGACAGAAATATAGCAAAGAAACTACGGCAAAAGAATATAATAAAAATAACATAAATGTACTTTATTGACAAGAAATGAGGAGTGCAAGATTACGATTCATTAAGAAAATTGAAAGATATAGCAAGACACTGCAATAAAATTTATCCGCGTCAAATTTATGCGAAAGACATAACAATGGTATTTTTATAAACAGTGTGCAATTGTCATCGTGTTGTATAAACGCGCGATGTCGCTGCAATGGCAATGTACACGCCAAGAAAACAAACCGATCAGTTTACTTGTACACAAGAATGTGTACCAATTAATATAATGTCCAATTAATATAATCGATAGAGAGAGGGGGGTGGGGAAGAGAGAGAGAGAGAGAGAGACGAAATATCTTTTTGGAAACTAAAATAAATTTGATTTTTTCTCTTTATATTTCATAACTTCGAGAGAAAAGTGACTCGATGAAAATGATTTTTGCCTAGCGATCCAAGTTGAATCTTGTTAGAATTTTACACTTCCGTGTCTCTCTACAAAGTCCCTGCAACATTACACTAGAATTTGTAAGATTTTATAAATGCAAGATCGCTACAACGTGACGACTAAAAGATTCTGTCTTGTATAGATAAATTGACGCAATCGGAATCAATTCGTGCTTGTATTCGTCAGAGGCTGTCGCAAGATCGACGACGAGTTGGTTCTGGTGATAGTAAACAAAATTCTATTTGCGTGTAATTACGTCGCGAACACTGTCAAACAGACCAGACCGCAAACCAAAGCAACGTGCGAAGAACAAGGCAACAAAAATCATTTGCTCCATCTCTATCGATAAAACGTATAATGGAAGTTTCCGTGGGAGAAAAGAAATACGTTGATGAGTATTTATATGTAGAATATTTTTATTCTTTAATATTATCTGCTTGAACGTCAAAGAAGTACGACATTCGCGAATGGGCTTATTCGATACATATATAATAGGTATAAATATATCTTATACATATATGGTATAGTCCGTACGCGAGACAAGAGATGGCAAAAGAAATCGTATTTCCAATTGAAAGGTTTCAGAACTTAACTGCATGTGTCTCTCTAAACTCTATTTCTACATATTTTAAAAAATTTCGATACTTTACATTGCTGCCCTGCCCTACCCTGATCTCTGATAAATTAAAATAAAAGACAATGATGTATGATTGTATGATGTAAATTTTTGTAAATTTCACGAATAATTAAAATGACGCAACGCGATGCCGGTAAAATATGCGACAATGGAAAGATATACCTACATATATGCGCGGGACATGTATTCAAGTCTCGAAAGAATAGTATACTCTGCAACACTACAATTCACGTTGCATAATTGTCGCCGACGAATCGACGATATCGACAATTTCAATGATTCGCACATCACTTCTCTTCGTCGCGAAGAAAATGAAAATCATGAGTCGTCTCAAAACGAATGAAAGTCAACCATATGTACTAGACTTATTATCGCATTTCCGTTACAGTTTATTACCGAAAAAGCACTGTAAAAACGAATGATAATTATCATTATTCTTATTATTGTTATTCAGACAGAGGGATAAGCGAATCTTCCACAAAGATTGACAGAGATGCGCATCGATACTTTTTTCAAACCTTTCGTCAACAGCTGCGACGTGTGCAACACCGCGCCGTTATTTACTGTGTTCAATTTTCATTCGAGTAAAGCAGCGTTATTCACCTTTACCTTTATAATTATATTTATTTCGAAAGCATGTAAAAACTTGATGATTCCATTGTCAGCCTTTATTTTATGAACGCATTGTCGCTGTCGCTTTTGATAGCCACACTATGGTCACGTTTATCGCGTGATACTCGCGAACTTTCAAGTACCGCGATAATAGCCTGTTCTACCCCGAAAGAAGAAATTTGCAACAATCGGAAATACATTTTTTTTTTTGACCGCTTAACTAACAAAATCCTTTCGCTATCGATAAAGTGCTATCTCTTTACACGCGTGAAAAGAACATGCCAGCAACGTTTTCCGTGATTTACTTGAAATCTATGTAACAAAAAGATAGAAATAAGAAAATGACAAATATAAAATAAACAAGCGACAAACAAGTATTGCGTTCAATGATATTTATTTTAGAATTATTCAAATCATTCCGTTTTTATGAATTTACATAAAAAGCAATCATGTACGTTCAGACACGTTACGTTTACGAAGCGACTCGTCGAACAATTTTACCTTAAGGTCATTTGAGAAGTCACAAGAGAAGTCTGCAAGTCGGAAGAGCTCCAAGATGATTAAAATCTAAGCGTAAAGCAATTGTATTGTCACGCGATCGCAAAACGGTTATTAGCAATGTGACGAAAAATCACCGCATCATCACTAAGCAGTCACATCTTAATGTCGCACACTCGTGCACTTTCGCGGAACCACTCCAAACTTTACGACTTGTCAGGCTGCGAAATGATATTCTTCCGTATCATCCATATCGTCAAAGTACGCCAAGTTTCTTTCGATGAGTTTCAAATTTTGTAATGTATGAATTTTATCCACGAAGCGCGTTAATTATGTTATTGTTAGACTTGGATTAACGATCGTTCGGTGAAAGAAAAAAAAAAAAAATTACATTCTTCACAGCTTACAGGAAAGATTCGATTCACGCAACGACAATTTCTATTTCACAATCAGCAATTTCCGAAGAACGAGGCGAATCTCACGAGATCGAAATAAGACGGCCGAACCACGTCGTGACTGCAGCCGTGAGGCCCAGCGAGCGCGCAGCTGATATTGTATACGCTCGTCGTGGCGGTCGCGTCGAATCTGGGCCAGCCACATCGTAACGATCAAAATAGCACGGCGTCAAGACACAGCTTCTACCCTTCTCTTCATCGAGCGAGAGCTCGTCATTTGATCCCCCTCCATGCACGCATGCACGCATGTATATACAATATATGCATTCCGCACACAATATCGCCCTGTCGCTCATTTTCGCAACAGTAACGTTTTGCCTTTTGCGCGGCGTATGGTGGAACTCGGGTCGCATCGAAATTACGTACTTAAATATTACAGCATTATTTCCGGTTCTTCGTAGGTATATCCTTTTGCATCGATGATATTATTTCGTTCAAGAATTATTACTAATGTTGAAATGTAGCGCAGCTGGCGCATTCGCATTCGCTCAATTCGATTTCCAAGGCCTCGCGGGCATTTCGCGGCGCTTCGCGGCTGGCGCCGCGACCGTCTGATCAACCGGCTTGCGATCAATACCGATCGATGATCGCGTGCGAAATGGCACGTAAATAGGTATAATATCGGAATTTTAAGTTGGATTTTAAGTCCTTGGTAAATCCGCGATTTACCAAGGAGAGGACTGCGGTCAATCGTATCGTCAATCGACCGACGCGACGCCATGCCATTTCTGTAATCGCGGCGTGTCAATTAACGGTTAATAAAATCACGCGATTATACGGTGATTATCGCGCGCGACAGCGAGCGCGTCACGAGGAAGCGAAAAGAATCAGGAGCTGAATCCGACGCGCGACGGTTGCGCGTTATTGCATGGGATTGCATAAGATTGCATGGATCCTTTTGCCACGCGCAAGCACTGATAACTCGCGGTACCGATCCGTGATCGAGTTTACTCAACGGCCATTATTTTTCTCTCTTTCTTTTCTCTTTATTTATACCACGCGCGCACGTTTCCCGCTCGACTCGTCGAGTGTATGGAAATGCCGCCAACCGCGCGCGACTTTCACGGTCATTCTCGCTACGCGACCAAGAGAAAACAAGATCGCTTGTATGACGTCAAAACTCGTCGAGCTGGATAAATTACTAGGTCGTTTCAGTAGCGTACATATGTACGCACTGTCGCTGTACACGCGCGACTTGTCGATCACTCGGATGCAACTCGATGCGATCAGTTTCGGAGAATCGCGGATCGATGCAGGGAGTATATACGAAGAAGCGTTCAACGGAATTGAACGGAGTTCCCTCGACACGCGCTCGACACTGTCAACATCGTGGTCAATCTATACACGGCGAGATAACGTCCTGGTACCGCTCGCGAGACCGCACGCCGACCACGCGTCCTTCCAGCACGAAACATTTTCCGAGAAGCTTGACAGAGTTCTTCAAGTTATTGAATACACGACAGCTCGCTCCTACAGCTCGCTGGTTACAGGTTACGAATAATAATATAACCACCTGCACGATACTACACCCGCGTGTACTTTGCCCTTTTGAGTTGAAGTAAAAACAAAAAGATATGATACTTTTTTCAATTGTGCCATGGGATAGATGCGCGCGATCGAAGAAAATTATTTTATTAGCGAATAAAGTGAGTAAAGCGTGACGTCACGTTAGGAATCAATACGGAAAGTACGGGCCAGGAGGAGGCGGTTATGACGTCGTCCTGTGCAGATGGCTGTGATGTCGTCACTGTTGTCACTCGCGTAGGAGACGCACGTACGCGCGCGAATCTAACCAACGCGACGGCACCGACGCTGCAGAGCAACGGGGAGAGGTCGTTACGCACGCTCTATGCTGAAAATGAGGGAGTCAACGCGCAGCCTATTAATCCTTCCTTACAGTGACAACAACGATATACAACAATAGCGATATAAAAGTCAGAAAAAAACGTAGGTTGTTACGCGGTGTCGCGTATACCTATTGTGAATTCGAGTACATGTACATCTCTCTATATACAGTCTTTATAGTTATAAGCTAAGCTTGTGCATCTGTACGCGACCCTCCGCTCCTATTTCTTCCTTCTCCGATGTTCCTGCCACCACCAACTTTTCCAGACGACAATGAAACAGCGGGGTTGAATGAGCCACACAGGGCGACGAACCGCGCGTATTAGGCAACGTTCATAACGGCGCTATCATCAGTAGCAAGATTTTTATTTATCGGATATATATATCCGTCATCCAATCTTTTTCATTAAATTAAAACGACAACTTTTGTTAAAAAGATATCCAAAATAAATATGTACGAGTGCTTTATACTTAAGAAAGCAAATATTGTAAATTTAATAGAGTTAAAATTTAATAGAGTATCTTTGTACGGATGATATAGCTCATTTTATTTCAAATACTCTAATATCCAAAATAATCATATGAAAGTAGTGAGAAATCGACGTGATAATTGAAAAATATAGAGATGCAGAGAGAGAGAGAGAGAGGTTATTCAATCCACGCTGACATAAGATAGCGTTAATATAATAATTTGTCTCATCGAGAGAATACTATCGTGAAATTCTATGTTGGTATAAATAAAGGAAAAAATTTGCACATTTTTTTCCATTACAGATTTAATTCAATCCAAGTATTCGTAGCATATTTATGGGATAATTGTTTCTAGTTTTTAAGAAAATGCGATTTTACTCGTCGTCGTCGCAAAAGGTATGGTACAGTACGGTACGGGGGTACGGCGCGGATAATGAAAGCGGTCGCGACACGAGCGGTCTCAGGTGTGCGTTAAAATCGATATTTCAAGTAGGTCAGTAGGTTACCAGGCGAAGGATGATAAGAGACCGCTTCGGACTAAGAATCGCCGCTATCAATGATAACGGAATCATACCCTACTATAGTAAATGAGTAATGTATAATCGGAAATGTCTGACGCACGCGCACACTAAATTTTCAGCAAAATATGAAAAAAAATGTTCAATTTTATTGCTAAAGTATTTAAGTGGAAAAAAAAAACTAAACGTTTTCATATGTGCGATAAAACGTGCGTAAATTTAAAATTCGGTAACACAATAAGAAAGTAGGGGTCGAGAGATAAAGAAAGACCCTCTTTTTTTGCACGTCCGGATACGAGCACGAACAAATTTGCGTAGCTCCCCTCTGAAAATTCCAGCTGGCCCCACTGGCAGTAGCCCCGTAGACATTACCGATCGTTATCCAAGGTCAGTGACATCGGTCGTCCACCCTAGCGTCTCGTCTGGCGTCTCGAATATCTTTTTTTTTTTCTTCTATCGAGCGGCGGCTCTCCTGCGGCTATACAGTCGGGACATAACACATTCGTCGTCCTTTGGAAACCGGCTCGGGACAAGATATTCGATCCGCTTAAAAACTCTTAGACATCCCCCTCGCGAGATACTATTTTTAAGCGGACGACCGACAGACGTCATTCGCGCGACGCAGCTTCGCCTACTGCAGTGCGTTTATGTATTTTTACTATTTCCAAGTTTTACACTTTTATCCTGCGTTGCAAGATGCTTGATTGCATAAATAAAACCAAATACGAGTAAAATCGTTTGTAAATTAAAATTATGAGATTTTCTCTCCCCCCTCCCCTCTCTCTTTCTCTCGCGTCAAGTTAGTTTATACGATTGACTGGATAGTGAAAATTTCATTCCAGCCATCGTAGTATTGCGTTGATGATAACGCAGCTACTATCCTAGAATAGCGCAATAAACTGACTGATGCAATTTATTTGAATCAATGCGGGCTCAGAAATGTGCCTCTCACTTAGTGACTCATTTATTCATACGATCATGTACATACAAGAGACCAGGAGTACATTTTGAGTACATCGATATCTAATCTCTTTTGTCACCACTCATTCAATTATTATAATTGACAATTTTGCCAATTTGCCGGAATCCTTGCATTAGCGACATTAATTTTCACGAAAGTGACTTAAAACAGCTGCACGCATTCCTTACGGAACGTTCGCACGTTCGATATCGCCCGGTATCTTGTATATATAAATAATAAATTATAAAAGATAGACCATCACGACGATGGTGGTCTATTTTCGATGGCGACGTTCTTTGTTTTGCTCTGCGAGTGTGTCTTGTCTCGTGTCGCAACAAGCGAGGGTAAGAGCGAGGTAAGAGAGGAGTCACATGCGCGCTTGGTGCGTACGGTGCCGAGAGCAACTTAATCCGAGCTGAATAAGAAGCTCCTTATCGCCCGTCTACGTCCGTCAAAGCTTAAAGCACAATGTTACATAAATTGATTCCAATCCAATACAAAGGCACAGATGGGTTCGTTCGTATTGGTATTGGTTTACGAATACGCGGTGAATACGTTTGATCGATGCGGCGAATGCGTTAAATTCGACTTTTCAAGTCTTTCGCGTTTCTGAATTTTATTCTAATTCTATTCTTCGCGATAATACATCATTTTTCCATTTCTGAGCGTAAGATTCGAATTGAGTGTATGCAATCTGCGCGGTATAAGGTTAGAGATGCTGCAGAGAGGAGGAAATCAAGATAAATGTTTCTCTTCTGCCGCGTTATAGACAACTAAAGAGAGCAACGTACTGTCGACGAGAACACTTGAATTTGCACTCGAGTTGTTTGAAGATGAAAGAAAAATGTCTTCGCCTTTAAGAGCCGCATTTCGCGCGCATATAAACGTTCCTGATGAGTGATAAACGATAAACGAGACAAATTTCTTTTCCATCTGAAAAGATTACTGGCAACTGTAAGCGCCGAGGGAATAACCGGATATACTACTTTTTTACGAAATAAAAGGTGACAAATAAATCGGATATTAAATTGAAGAGAGATAAAACGAAGATTTCCAGGTAATTTGCCTAGAGTAAAAACTGAAACGTTATGTGGCGCGATATGATTGAGGAGAATAAAGAGTGATAAAGAGGATCGTGACGGTAGAGATCGAATCGACCGAGGAAGCAGCAGCTTCTCTCGCGAGTTGACCTCTCTCGCGGGATTCTCGATCTGACAAATACAAATCGGTGGTGGATAGCGTGCTGCTATACGGCCCTGCTGCGTCCCATCGCGCCTTACCGTCGTCCTTCGAGGCTCGAGCCGCCCGAGCCACACACGTATCGCTCGCAACTCCAAGTCTAGTCGAGAT